ACTAAAATTAATCGTTTGAATTAATTTTTTGTTTTATACAAAAATCGAAATATTTTAGTCTTCTAATTGTTTGTTTTTAGTTTTAAACTCGCTTTACTTTTGAGAAAAAAAAATAAAACTATCTTTTTTTTAAAAAAAAAAAGTGTGTTTACTGTTTACGGTTTAATTTGGTTTTGATTTAAATTTGCCAATTAGTTATAAAATTTTCGGTATAGTGTGAATTTAACTAGATTTAATTGAGTTGCTCACCTGTATTTAGAACCTTTGGATATGTATATATATATATATATATATTACATATATATACTAATCCAAAGATGTAATTAAAGATTATAAAATTTTTAGGTTTTCTTTGGTATTGAATATAACTTCAACACGATTAGTTAGTTCAGATCGATCATGTTGAACCCATCAGCACATTCCTAGTAAGAGTGCGTACCAATCGTCTAATCAATGCCAAACATTTTCTTCAATATTGGTATATATCAACTGTGGATCAAGGTACATTCTAGGTAATTCGAAAAACAGCTTTTGTAGATCAAGTTTATAAAAAGTAGTGGCTTAAGATGGATTGAATATGTGTATATATTTAAAAACATGCATTTCGAAACAGCATTTGTGCACTAAGTGGCAAACCAAATTTACGCAATATGGTGGACAAGGTTAAAAATAAAAAGCTTTAACGCGCCTAATAGAAACTCAAGATATAAACAGATCGATCTTCTTAGCTCCTAAACAATACATTTTATTGGGTTTGAACTACTCTATAAACATGTTGCTAATGCAATGCGTCAAAGAGTATTTTAAATAAACTTTCTTTTAAACCCAATTAAGCCTAATAACTTTAAACTCTCAAAAGCCTAATATGTTTTGCCCCAATATGTTTCTGATCCTAATTTATCAGTAGACATTTATGAAAGCTTTTTCCCGACATCCTTTCTTCATAATTCGTATCCGTTGTTCAGGTAACTGTTTAGCGATTAATGTACAGCTAAATCCCTTTTTCTTTGTTTTTTAGTATAAAAAAAATTTCCAATATAAAAAATAGAATAATTAGAATTTAAAGCAAACGTCTTGAGGTATTTTAATTCAGATTTTGGCTTAAATGGACAAAAATGTCATGTGAACCAATTTTCAGATTTTGTTGTCCATATTTATAAGTCAGGTGTCCTTTTTGTTTGAATATGAACCAATAAAGTTTACGGTTTAGATTTTTATTTATTTATTAAGGGTTTATAAAGTTCATCGAGGCTTAAAACAGCAGATTGAGTTTAGAGTTTAATATTTATGGAAATAGTGTTTAGAATTTTTTAACCGTGTATGAGCTTTAACGAGGCTTAAGACAGCGGCTTGAATTTGAAATTTAATGTTTATATTTTTACTAAAGGTTTTATGAGTATTTATAAGGTGTAAGAGATTCAACAAAATTTAAGATTATATATATATACACTATATTAGGCTCTGTTTGATACACAGAAAATTGTTAAAATATTTAAATTTTGAAATTGATAAATGTATTATGATCCATATAAATAAATTCTAAATGAAGATCTTGTTAACTTATCTACAAATTATGTTTTGATTTATTTTAAAAAATTTTAAAATTAATTACAAACCTGATAAATAAATTTAAAATAAAAAAAAACATATTAAAAATATATATTTTATAGTTATATTTTTCTATTTCGTAGTTTTTGTTTTTTTCTTCTTATTTTACTTTTTCTATTTTAGTATTTTTTATTTAATATAACATAATTCATTTTTTCATTTTTTTGAAATAAATATTTAAAAATTAAAAATATTTATATTATTGTATTGATACATGTCACTATCTATCTAGATTAACGACACATATCGCGATCTCATAAATTATAATTATCTTATGTATCATGCTCAGCTTTATATAATAAGGAAATATAAGATTCAAAACCTATTTAATAGTTACTAATAAGGAAAAAGAATAAAAATGTCGCTTTTGGCCGAGTTCTTAAGATTGACTGCTAAGCAAATGGGTTCTATACACGCGACTACGCGAGAGTTCGAATCTCTCAACCAATGGCCTTGTAACCTTACTCAAGTACTCTAATTTGTAAAGCAACCAATCGAGTTGTCAAATTTGTATTGTCTTTACAATCGTCTGTTAGCCCCACGCCAAAAACTCAAATCACTCATAACCAAACAAATTAATACGTTTTTAATGTGAAAAAAGTTGCCACGCACATAGGTTCGTAGAAAGAGTGCGATTACAGATCCACGATTCATGCATGAAGGATTGTAACAACTAGTAAGACAGATGGCATCTATCAGGAATAATATGACAAAAAGATATTATAATTTTAAGGGAAAAATGAAATTAGAAAGAAAACATCTCTGTTTACAATTAATGTTTATTTTTTTTTATTAGAAGAAGAATGAGAAAGCAGTTGGACTAATGTGCATGATGCAAAATCCCAAACGTTGTCGTTTACCTTGGAGGAAAGAGATCTGTTGGTTTGTTTTTTCTTAGCCTAAAAATAATTAGAGGAAAATAAATAATGAGGAAGAGAAAGAGAACAAAAGGGATGCACGTGATGCGAAGGTGTTTTGGATGTTGATTACGAATACATATAAGAATAGAGCTGTTCCTACGCCAAAAAAAAAAAAAAAATGAATAGAGCTGTTCTTCTTGTCCTTTTCGTCTTTGTTATCATCAAATAGTTACTTCTTTCATTTATCATAAATATGGAATTTATAAGCTCATCACAAGTTTTTTTTTATAACCGGAATTTAGTTTCGAGGTTCAAAGAAATTTTGTTTTTAATAACCATTTAAAATGTTTACGGATAACTTAATAATGGAGTAATTAAGATGTAATTCTAGTTTGAAGACTTTTACTGTTTTACACCAACAAAGTAAATATTTATAAGAATATCACTTAATTATCTTGATACAACAAAACAAATCCTCGTCATAAGTTTCGGTTTTCATGGTAGGCCATAATTTAATTATTGAGATGTGAAACTTCAACCAGATCTAACCCTCTTATTTCAGTTGATCTCAATCAAACGGTCAACCCAAGTTATACCTATTTTATGTCAAACTATGTAAAAAGTATAAGCAAAAAATATGTTTATATGTTATATTTTTAACTACCCTAAATAAGAAGGTTAAGTTTGTATTTTTATTATTATGTATGATACCTGCCGACCAAAAAAATATGAATGATATATAAAACTCAAATTCAATAATGAGTTGTATATTATATTTTTTTATAAAAGGGTTTATCCCAAGTCGAAACCCAAACTAAGCCTCAAAGCTCATAAAAATTCGCTGTTTTTTGCCACTTCAAACGTTACAGGTGGCAAGTGATGGGTTGGATAGTTATATATTGTGCAAATTCTATACAAAGGTATCTGCGTATGTATGTATATATAGAATGCCAAACAGGTAAGGTTCAGAGGATGATGAGCATTATAAGGGTTTTGGTTCTAATGTTTGTAAGAAAGAGAACATTCTTGGGTAGGTTTTGGTGGCCCATGTGTTTTGTTTTTTTTCTGATGACTCTTGCTACACTACATGTTGATGTATATGATGCACAAATTTCTGTCTTGAATCTTAAGTTGGACTCACTGGTTTAATAACACTTGATGTGTACTTTGTTCTTGGATTTTTCTCATTCTTTCTTATAAAATTATCAATTAAAAAGAAAAGTAGTTAATAGTAATCTTATATTATTGATTGACAAAGATACTTGAATTTTTTTTTGTTTCATGTATTATTTACATGAGTGTGAGTGTCATGCTGAGGTGTCAATTTCAAAGAACTTCTCAAATTTTTTTTGAAAGTATGCTCAACTTACTAAATTAATTACATCATATGTCATTACCATTAATTTGATTATAGATTAGTTTATATCAATTATATACTTAATACTCAATCATTTAATTTGTAAAAATATTCTCTCTCTTTCTATTTCTTATCAATATATTTATAAAAATTTAATACATAATATTAGTTATGTTACTAAATATTATATATATCTTATCTCATTTTTCTTTGATCTTAATTTTGTTAAAAAAATCACATTATCTATTTAATAGTAAGAAAATATAAAATATTTTCATACATATTATAATTCAAAATTTTTTATATCAAAAACAAAGTACTTAGTTTGATGTTGGACCGGTTAGATAGAATGTATTCATCTATTTTATTATATTTAATATGCAATTCATTCATATAAAAAATACTATTAAAATTAATTATAATACCAAGAATTATCTAGTATTTCTGCAATTGTATTACAAAATAAGTATAATTTTAATCATTATTTAAAATTATATAGTCAGTACATGTATTTGTAATTATATATATCATCTAACATTTTCATAGTTGTATTTATATATATTATATTTGCATATTCGAATAAATGAATTATGATTACTATTTACTCCGCACACAATGCGGATAATCAACTAGTATATATTATTCCAAAAAATAACAAATTTCTATAAAACACCCTAAAAATGCGTAAATATTAACATGGTCATTATTTTTTGCTATCTTTCCATTCGATTCCTATTTTGATTTGAAATTCAAAACACATTTTAGGAACATGGTTTGAGTTGCATGAATTCTTGTTCTCAAATTAGATTTTTTACATGTCAAAAAAAAAAAAAAAAGATTTTTTACTTTTTCCTAATAACTAAGGAGTGATTCAGACTCTTACCACTCGACTAATCTTTCAGACTAAGGTAGTAGTCAAGTAGTCAATTCATCGGATTTTCTATAGATCTAAAACATGACTCTATTTCGACTTGGCCAAATAAAAATTGTTAGAAATCTCGGCTCAAGTTTCAATGGAGTTTAAATAGATCAAAGATTTTCTTAATCGTCTCAATCCGTTTTTGTTTATTTCTGTACCGAGTTTACCCATACGTAAATTCAATTTAACAAGCATTCATAATCCATAGTGTAATTCTTGGTCTAACGGTTGGAACAATATACAAACGTTTTGAACTTTGAAATCCTCTTTTGTAAAAAAATAAAAATTGAAACCCATGTGAATTAATTTCACCATGAGAACAAAAGACACATAGTAACTAAGGAAGACAAATGATTTCGATAGTAATTTGGTTTCTTAGATGGGATTTTTATTGGCAATGGCCCATTTTGAAAAGGAATCGAGAGTATTGACATCTGCTCTGTAATGCTTTTGAGTAAATTCAAGGAGCATAGGCCAAGTGAAATCAGGGTATCTTCTTGGTGTCGTCTTCTCCAAAATCTCACTTGGTGGCTTCACAACTTTGTCTCTCTTTGGACACAAGAAAAACGCCATCGATTTTCTCGCACTCTCTCTGTTCACAACCGCTCTATGCAAACAACTCTTGTATATCCCGTTCGATAGAGCCTACAAAACCAAAATTTATCAATCATTTGTGTATGAGTAACCAGAATGTGTTTACTTTTTTAGATGATTATTAATTACCATGAAAGTGTCACCGATATTGACTACGAAAGCCTTGGGATTGGGAAGAATAGAACGCCATTGATTGTCAGTGAAGACTTGAAGGCCATTGACATGGTCTTGGTGAAGGATGGTCAAAGAGCTTGGATCACAATGAGGTCCTGTACCTAATGTGAGATCTGGTGTTTGGCATGGAGGATAATGATTTAGCCTCATTATTGAATCGTTCTCTTCGAAAAATCCTCTGAAATAGTCGCGGTTTACGCCTAAACTTAGCCCAAGAAGCTCCATGATCTTGAGTGACAATGAGCTCATTGCTTCACAGTAGTCTTGATACACTTTTCTGTAAACATAACCGGGAAAATAATTAGCAAAACCGGTCAAGTTATTTCCAGTCTAATGAATTTGGTATAAGAACCCGGTTTATCCAAGTAAGACTAGAAAACAGAGGAAATAATAAAACAAAAATAAAATAAAAACAGAGGAAATAATAAACAAAAAAAAACAAAAAAAAAAACAGAGGAAATATTGACATATTTGGGTTTGTTTGATGTTCTTTGTTCTATTTTAGGACACATACCCAAATCGCTCGAACTCTTTTCCTAATGTATCGGAGAAGTAGTCTTGAACTGTTCTTGAGCCACTATTCTCGTTGGAAAACCGGAAAGAAAGAGTCTCTTTCCATGGGAGCTTGGTTGAGAATCTTCCGGTGAAGCTACTGGCGTAGCCACAGCTCTCACCGGGTTTTCTCTGAGCTCTCTGTTTTCCGGCGAGAGGCATGTCGAAGAAACGTTCCATTAAACGGTGAGCGTCGGATATGAGCGACTCGCTAACTCCATGGTTGACGACGAGGAAGAAGCCGTGTTTGTTGCAAGCGTCTGCGATGAGTCTTGAAGCCTCTAGAGTTGAGTCTTGGCTCGAGAGATCAATGAAAGGGACTTTGAGCTCAGGAATGTTAATGGAAGGTTTCTCTTCGTCTGGCCAAATGAATTGGTTTGGGATTTGAGTTTGGAGGTTAAGAAGAGAAGGGTTGAAGATTAATGGAAGAGTTTGGTCGTTTTCAAGATCTTGTTTTGGTTCTTGTTCTTTCTCTGCAGGAAATGTTGTTGTTGTTGTGCAAATTATCGCCATTTTTTTCTCTCTTTTTCTTGAGAGTTTTTGTTTTGTCTTGTTCTGAGTTTAAATGAATGAAAGGGAAAAATGGGAGTGAGTGTTGTTGAGAAGATGGGGGAACAAAGGGTCCTTTAAGTCTTTATATAAGCAAGCTTTCTAGTCTTGTTAGTGTACATTTGTTTTTCTTTATAATAATTTACTTCCATTTGATTTTTTAAAAAATTTATTTCATACTATTCTCTTTTACAAGGTAAATATAATAGTGTGTCAAAATTTTGCATCTATTGAACTCATTTTTGGTCTCAATCAAAACGACAAAGAAAACTAGACGACAATCAATCCCCTAATTAAATGCGTATTTGTTCATGTGCTTGGTATTCATGCATGTTGGATTCAATCTTGATCTTATATAATATATTGAGATAATACCAAACTTCATTAGATAATGATGTATAGAATCCTAGTTTATCTTGAAATAGATTGGGTAAATAAAAGGTTGGTTGTATTCATTCACAAAGTAAAGTATTTATAAATAAAGTATGTAACACTTTAGCCCAGTAGGAATTCTAGAGATACGCCTAAGTTTAGATAAACTAGGATTCTATACTTATCCTACTATAGTTTGATATTATCTCATATAATACATTTTCATCGGAATCTTGCAGTCATAATATTTGCAATGAAAATGGTGAAAATTTTCAAATGTGTGTATATAGACACAGAATCAGACTCTATCTATTTACATGCACCATCTTAAAATTCTCGGTTACGTTATATACATTCTGTAATGTATACTATCCACATTTATTTGGAATATCATTATCACTTACATATCGGATTCCACACAGCATTACATTTCTCTTTTCATAATAAGGTATGTTTTTCAAATGGTGGCATATAGTATATAGAGAGACGGAACTTTCGACGATATGGAAAAACTCGCTCAACACCCGAAAGGGTTATTAAGATCATCGATAAATTTTTGAGGAATCGTCTTACCTTTCTTGGAAGAGAGTTTTGCATATTGGTTCAGCAAGATTTTGAGACTCTGTCTTTTATTCTGATTTCTTAAGTATTCGAAACAATGAAACATTTTTTATAAAAAATGGTTTGAAACCAAGTTGCTTTGGCTCAGTGGTAACTCTCACTTTTAAATGGGAAAGTCTTGAGTTCGAGTCACTTTGATCACTTAGCCATGCTTTAAATTTGGAATATTTTTGATTAGTTGTGGGATTAGTCTTTAGGCCTAGACAACTTTTGGATTCCCACAGTTAAAAAATAGTTTGATATTCAATTACAAAAAAAAATGTGTACAAACTCATTTTTGATGAATGGATACACAGTCTAAAATAAATTCATATTATATCCCTACATATTTTACAAGATAAATACACCCTCTAGAATCAATTTTGGCTTCGTTCCAACAAACAAATTGCCATGGGAATAGGGATTATTGTTTTAAGCAAAAAAGTAAGTAAATCAATGGATCTTTTTGGTGGTGTCTGTTTTTATAGTTGGCAGAAGGAAGAGGTTCCCGAGGTTGTGTTTGGCTGTATTAGGAGAATTGTTGGTTCCACATATTTATTTACTATCTTTTCTTACATAGTTTGCATCTTTTAAATTTAATTTCATAGTTGTCTGTCTATTTTCTATTGGATCTTAAAGAAAATGGAAATATGAGAAAGCATTAGTTATTTATAGTTATAACTTTGGGCTGCTCTTATAACACTTTAATGCAACATAGGGGGCCGATTTGTTAACCCCACAGCCTGCAGAAACTTTTGTAATGCACACTCGTTCACAGTTAGTTCGACCAATTTTGAGTGTGCAAGTTCGTAGATTCGTCGATTTAAGTAAACTAAACCAGTAATCTCATTTATGTTTGTAACTATTTTTTAATAGCATCAGCACATTTTAAAATTCTTAAAGGTAAACAAACACATTATTAAATTTGGTACGCCGGTTTGAATTTTCAAACCGTTTTAAAGATTTTGCTGTTGACAAAAAATATTTGTACATCACACGCACACATATCTGGATTTGATTTCAAATACAACAAACAACACTAGTCATACATGATACACCCATAGTTTTGCACTTTTATTATATATAAAGCCACTCACTATTTTTTTGTTGTCAATCTATAATCCAAATAAGTATCTGAAACATATAGTCTAGATTGTATTAGTATCGCCTTATCATAATCACGGTTCAAACAGATAGAAGAATTTGCGAAAAATGACACTTTATTTAAGTTTCATTAGTTTTTAGTATTTTAGGTTTTATTGTTTTTTTATCCAATAACGGGCAAATAACAAAATATCATCTTTTGGTCTTTCCGTGTACTGTCCACAAATGCCGTATCTGATTGTACATAGCCTAAATTATTATGTACAGTACAAAAGTGATATTTTCTAGTAACACTTTGGGAAAATATTAAAAACTAACAAACCTTAAATAAACTACTTAAAATAATATGTATTGTTGAAATGAAATAACACCTTAAAACCTCAAATCTCTCATTGTTGAAATGATATAAAACGAAATAATTAAAATAATATCTATTGTTTTCATCTCTTTATTACTTTTTTATTTCAAAATATAAGTCATTCTAAGTTGTTGCACACAGATTAAAAAAACTTTGAATTTATCCATAATATCCTTGTTAATTAATTCATTTACAGTTTATTAATTTAATTTAAAGTTAAAATTGCTATTTATTTGTAAACGTTACGTTGGAAACCGCAAAAATTTATATTTGAAAAAAAAAAATCTTAAAATGACCTATATTTTGAAACGGAAGGAGTATTATTATTTACGCGGAGAAAGAGTAAAGATGGGTATAAAAACCAAACTCAACCAAAACACATCAAATGAAACAAAAAAAAAAAAACTTCAAACTCAAAAGGTAATTAAACATCATTTACTTAATCTTTCATTCAAAACTATACCCAGTCAGAATGTTCATTTTCTCTATGTTGCAATCTTAAAACTCTACAAGAAGGATGAATGTAGAGGTTTGAGAAAGGCAGAATCTATTTTCTTCACACGTGTGTTTACTTGTCTAAACATGAAACTATTAGGACATGGAAAAGAGCGGATGGCTAAAATGCCATAATGTAGAAAAAAAGGCCAAAACGCCATAATTGTAATAATTAATTTAATTTTGATTTTTGTTTAAATCCAAAACCCTAGAAAAATCTACCTTCTCCTTGAGATTTCGATTTATTTACAGTAAAACCAGGGTCAAACCCATATAGTTTCGGTTAATCCGTTAACCCGACCCATTCAAAATTATTTTAATTATTTGAATTAAATATTTATAAAAACCGTTTTTTCTTTTCATTTTCTAGGTTTTCCTCTTTTCTCTTCCTTTTCTTTTCATTTATTCGGAACGAAACCGTCTTCTTCATTCTCACTTCTTCGAGAAACCGATTCGCGAAAACACAGCAAAACCGTTAAAGCACTAGGGCTTTATAAACTTGTAGAATCGTTTTCTTCTGGCGAAAATCGCGAAAAGGGTGAATCCCGAATCTCCGATTTATGGCGAAGGTGAGAAACAAAGGTCAAAGTGTATGAGTCTTCTTCTTCAGCGGCGGAAGTCCAAAACCCGCCGGAAAACGAAAAAGAGAGACCTGAAAGTCGGCCGGAAGGAAATGCGGCTGAAATTGAAGACCCAGAAAACGGGAACCCTAACAATCCGGCGGAAGGGAACCCGACTCCGACGGAAATTGAGGAACCCCGGCGGGAAGGAAGGGCTGCAGAGGAAATCGCAGACCCACAAATCGAGAATCATCCTGAAATTGAGAACGCCGAAGTGAGCATGGCCACACCAACGGCAAACGATGGTGACGGGGAATTAGCAGGAGAAGATGTAGCAGAGGAGAAGGAAAATGATAAGGAAAACGAAGAGGAAGTGGAAGAGAACCAAGAGGAAAAGGAAGATAACAATGAGGAAGAGGAAGAGAACAATGAGGAAGAGAAAGAGGAAGAGAACGATGAGGAAGAGGAAGAGAAAGAGGAAGAGAACGAAGAGGAACCCAACCAAGAGGAAGAGGCGATAGGAGGTGAAGAGGAAGATGGTACTGCGCCTGCGCAAGAGGAAGAGGAAGCGGAAGAGAACCAAGAAGAGAAGGATGAAGCGCCAGCCAATGTCAACGAAGAGGAAGGAGAAATGCTAGAGGAGGAAGGAGGAATGCAAGAGGTACGTTTTAGACTCCCATCCTTGGTAATCTTGTAGATTATTGTCTGTTTGGTATGTAGACAACTAGGACAACTATGTAGTAACATCTATGTTTGGGCTGCGGACAAATAGGACAATTTTGTGGCTTAAGATTTTTTGGTATTAGGACAACTGGGACAAGATATAGTTATAGTGTATAGGACAACTGGGACAACTTAGAATTATTGAACGTGTGTGGACAACTGGGACAATTACTCGTTTACAGTATTTATTGGACAACTGGGACAACTTGTCGGACTAATATATATAGGTTACTATGGACAATTGGGACAACAAGTTTAACTAATTTATATTACTCTTCTGAAATTCAGGATGCCGATGATGAAATGATGCCAATGGGGCCTGAGAAGCTTTATTTCGGTCCAAGCGAATATAGCAAGGCGTGTAAGACAATTACAAGATGTGCAGTTAAGAGTGTACTTGATGTGATCGGGGAGCTACCTGAAGAGATGGAGTGGTTCAAATCGCATCCGCAATTCAAGCACCTGTTTCATATGTATAAGGAGCCAAATCATATGAATCAAGGGTTGTGGATGCTTCTTCTTCACACAGCTTATACTGAGAAGCAAAATGAGGCGTGGTTTGTGGTAAATGGAGCGCCTATTCGATAATCTTTGAGGGAGCATGCACTGCTATGTGGTCTTGACTGCCATGACTACCCTGCGAATTATAAGAAGTTGGGTAAGCTGAACTTTGTAAAAAAGCATTTTGGCAGGGATGACAAAATCAAGATCGGAGAAGTGGAAGCAAAGCTAGCAGAAATGAAGGAACCCTCTTTGGACAGGAAGAGGATGGCACTACTTTTGTTTCTATGCAAAGTATTGAAGGCGAAGTCAAAGCTTGACGGAAACATTGACCCATTCTTGCTCGCAGCAGCTGGAGATCTGAAGCTGTGCAAAACGTTTCCTTGGGGGCGTTACACGTTTGACGAGACTATAAGGGAGATCCAGCGTGTGGTTACCAAGTTCAATGGCAGCGTAAAGCCTAAAGGAGCTGAATGCACAATCGGTGGTTTCATTCTTCCTCTACAGGTATGTCTTTGTTAATAGATTATCTGTTTGGTATGTGGACGACTAGGACAACTTTTTAGATTAATATATGTTAGGTCGATGGACAACATGGACAAGTAGGACAACTATTTAGTTTGTAATTTAATTTGGTATGTGGACAACTCGGACAAATGGGACAACTATTTAGTTAGTAATTTAATTTCAGGTATGTGGACAACTCGGACAAATGGGACAACTATTTAGTTGTAATTTAATTTGGTATGTGGACAACTAGGACAACTGGGACAAATATTCAGATTGATTTATGTTTTGACTTTGTAGATTCTTGCGTTTGAGTGCATTCCAAGTATGGGAAAGAGGTTTCGTGTAGCTGTCCATGCTGAGCCTAACTGTCCAAGGATTTGCAAGCATAGGTTCACTGATGTAGCCATGAGAGGTATTCCTTTGGATTACATCAACCAAGCTATTGGCACTAGTGCTAAGGTCAGTGATTTTTTGATTATTGCTATTAGCTTGATATTAAACATGGTTGGTGATGAAATGTAATAAGTGGTATTTGTTGATATTATCAGAACATTAGTAGCATTTTGGAGGCTGACTCGGATGAAGAAGAGCTTTTGGCTGAGATCGCAGATCCTGGATTCGATGATGGTATCAGATATATTGACATAACCGTTGAGGGCTGGATGGATTACTTAACCAAGGAGAAGAAAAAGATTGTTTGGAGAGAGCTGTATGAGGCTGATATTGCTTCTCGGGTTCAAGTCCCTGCTATGGAACCAAGGGAAGATGAGCCCATATCAGTGGCTCAGCTGAATGTGTCATTGGTGGAGCTGAAGGCGTCATTGGTGGAGCTGAAGGCGTCAATGGAGAAGAAGCAAGAGGAGATTGTAGAGAAGGTAGAAGGAATGGATAGAAGATTGAAAACTCTTGAGGGGATGGTACATCCATCAGGACGAGTCTCCGATACATCACGACCATGCTCACCAGTCCACTCGACGAGTCCAACACGATCACCAGCGCCACCAGCGCCACCAGCGCCACCAGCCTCAGAGCACTCTCCACTTGTATCCGATCCTCCAGCTGTTGCCACCACACCTCTTGCACCAGGTCCCTCCTTATACGCAGCACGTTCACCGACAGTGGAAGAAGAGAGAGAGGCAATGAGAGCTCTGACATACGAACCGGGCAAAGGACCATTTAAGAGGACGAAGAAAGGATATAAGAAGAAACCTCAACCAAGCGAGGGCCCAAGCGAGGTCCCACAACGCCCTAAGAGAACCCAAGCTAAATCCAGACATGTGTTATCCCCTTTTACTGAAGAGAGACCTGCTAAGAAGAAGAAGAACTGATAACTTATTTGATAACTTATGGTTTTAGGATAACTTATGCTCTTATGAACTTATGTATATTTGATATCTTATGCTTTTGGATATGGCTTGTTTTGCTGGATATGGCTTGTTTGCTGGATATTGCATGTTTGTTGGATATTTATGGGTTTAGGTTGGACAACTATTTAGTATGTAATTTAATTTTGGTATGTGGACAACTCGGACAAATAGGACAACTAATAGTTGTAATTTAATTTTGGTCTGTGGACAACTAGGACAACAGGGACAATTATTAAACATAATGATAACATTGGACAACAAGGACAATTATTTAACATAATGATAACAATGAAATTATTAATGTTTGGACAACTGGAACAATAACGACAGTGTTATATAACTGGGACAACAATAAGCATAGATAGACATAGTAGGGGGAATCCAAATCCAAACCCCTGAACAATACAAAATTCTACTTGAAAAGATATGAAAACACAGCAAACAGCATGAAAAAAGAGATTATCACATATCCATCACCTCGGTTGGCAATCAATTCCTTCATCCTTCCAATCTCTCTTTCCATCCCAGATAGTTGCTCTCTGAGTTGCCTAATTTCGGATTGATGTGTCTCAAACGAGCTAGTCTCAGGAAGGCAGTTTCGGACAACTCCCATGTTATGCAAACTTTTCATCCCAGATGTGGCATTATCAACTCGAATTTTCAGAGTTGATAGCTCTTCTGTAACCGCGTCCTCCCACCATTTCCATATGTGGTTATGATTCGGGCAAGGCCTCTTATAATAGTGAAGCGAAAATCAGTAAATTCGCCATATTCTAAACCCTAAAATAAAATTCATCTAAATCTAAAATTGTAGAAATAACCTAAAATCCAAAAGTTTTTACCTTAAATGTCCAATCTGGGCAAGTGTACATTTTTCTTCCTCGGGTGGCTTCTGACTTCGAATCCCTGATAACCATCAGGAGACCACACCAACACGATTCTCTCATACCATCTTCTCCATCAGCTCGGTAATATGAACTGTCCCACGAGTGACTGGAAGAAGAAGAACCCGAACTGTAGCTTGGCATCTTGTTGTCCAGCGGCGGCCGCTAAACCCTAGATTTCGATTTGGGGGAAATTCTGTTTTTTCTTCTCTAAGAATTTCCTTATAAAGGAGCCTACTGATCAAAACGCTGAGTTTCATTCTAATATTTGGCGGCGCCGCAAATATTGATTTAACACGTGCTTAACGCGCTCAATACCGAAAATAACACATAGTTGTACCGATACGTCCTGTTGTCCAAAATTGGTCATAGTTGTCCATTTTGATTATTCTACTTGTCCGGTAACATAAATCTGTATTTAATAGTTGTCCAGGGGACGATAGACTCATGGTTACTATTTACTATTACATTGCAAGGAAATTTGATCAAAATCATATAAATTTCGTTTTGCCCTTTGTAAGATGCTCCATTATCAAAGAGTTACATGTATCATATGAGGATGTTGATGTGAAACCCATACATTGTTTCAACAAACCGATAATATCAAAGAGTTACATGTATCATTTGGTTTAATTTGTTAGGTTAACAAGAAACCTTACGTAGTTGTACCAACTTTTCCAGAAATCCAGTACATATAAGAAATACAAAAAAACATAACGTAGTTGAACCAACTTGTCCAGTTGTCGCAAAAAATGCAAAATCCAAACAAACTCTAAACATAACTTAGTTTGTACCAACTTGTCCGGTTGCACCTGAGAGTTAAACTACATCAAAATACAAAGACCACAAACAAACTAAATTGGGTTTCCACTTTCATTTCCACTTTGGTTCCCACTTTGATTTTCGCGAGGGTTTAATGGCTCAAACCAACGTCCGAGATGTATTCCCGGTTTTGACTTGTTACATCCTTTACGGCGAGCTTCTCCGGTAGAGGGATAGCGCTTATCTTGCTTTCTTCCATGTTTCTTAGTGTAGTCCGGTGGTAAAACGACTAACTTCTGGATTTCATCAGGGATAATCCATGTAGACTGATGTGGCACCATATAAATAGTCCTGTAATAAGCCAGGGGCCAAGTATCAATGTGGTAATATTTTGAGCACAACTCATGTAAGTGGATTTCCCTTCTTCTCTCAGCCGAACGCATCATTGCAATGTCAGCGGCTATTGCATGAACACAGGGAATTTTGTCTATATCAAAACGCCTACAGCTACAACATTTACTTAACAAATCGACCAGATAACTCTTCCCATCATCTCCAATCACACTGTATTCCAGATGAGTAGCGTTAAGCTCAGTGACAAATAATCTTGTACCAATTGCACATAGACTATGCAACTGGTTCTCAACATAGGGCACCAATGTCTTCGAATCTGATGCATATGCAGTGTCTTTCCTATGCTTGTTGAACCATTCAGAGATTTTTTCAACATATGCATCAATCAACAGTAATAAGGCATACTTCCTTGCCTTCTTGAAGACACTATTCATAGACTCACACACATTGTTTGTGTCCAAGTTGTACTTGTCTCCTTTAAAGAATCACCTTGCCCATTTATCAACCGCAACATGCTCATCTAAATACTCAGCAGCTTTTGGAAACCATATCCTAAAATCAGTGCGCACATAAGAACTCACTTTCAGTGTATTTGTGAGCGCATTCTCTGAATTTTACTGCACACAAATCTTTGCAGCCAATCCCAGCTTTTCCTCTCACGTTTTGCGACAAATGCCAAATGCAATATCCATGCTGAGACTGAGGGTACACCTCCTTCACTGCTCCAATGATGCTCTTATGTCTGTCACTCATAAAAACCAGTTCCTTATCATCAGGTATAACAGTTTTGAGTGTTTCAAAAAACCACTTCCAACTAGCATCTTTCTCACTATCAATAACACCCATTGCAATTGGATAGTGATGATTAGGATCCTGCGCTGTGGCAAATACTAGCATACCACCGTACACACTCTTAAGAAAGGTCGCATCCACAACTATGACTTTCCTCATTGCTCTAAAGCCTTCAATACTAGCGCCCAAAGCGACAAAGAGATACTTAAACTTATTTTTGGCATCCAGTTTCACACTGGTTATTGTCCCAGGATTAACAAGCTGTAACATGTAAAGATAACAATACAACTTTTGATAGCTTTCTTCTGGACTGCCCCTCACTTCACTAATAGCTAGTTTTTTCCCTCTCAAGGCTGTAGAGTATGACACATTCACGTGAGCTTCATTTTGAACAACTTTAATCAAAGCTTTGGGCGCAGGGGTGTCTACTTCTCCTGGATAGCACCCACGCAAAACTTCTGCTACTACTTGTGGTGTGCCTTTCCTTTTATTCCGAATTGTGCTCGAAACAACCCGAGAGCAGGTATGGATATTCCTATACACCCTAATACTGAAATAAGTTGAATCCACAATTCGTACGGCGTGTAGATACCATGTACAACCAAGTTCAGCTTGCCGGCATCTTAGTATGAGTCGCCCTGTATCTGACTTTACCGTTTTTACCTCAAAACAGCCCTTATGTGAAGCTCTGTCGACCAAAACTCGCAAAGCCTCCTTGGATCGAAATTCTTGACCTTTTTCAAACCCAGCTCCATCCTCCCATTCTAGAACAAACCGAGTTTGTTCCACAGGCCGTAGAGGCTCAACATGATCATGTTCATCTACATCTTCATGCATGCCACACTCCGCATTCTCCTCTGGTAACGCAATTTCACAGCTTACCCGTAAATCAACATTCTCCATCCTCTCAGTTTGTCCCTGTTGTCCCTCAATTTCACAGCTTACCCGTAAATCAACATTCTCCATCCTCTTCGGTTGTCCCTGTTGTTCCTCTGCTTCTTCCGGGTTGTAAACAATCAACTGGTCTCTTTGTTGTCCCTGTTGTCCCTCAATATCAGGGGCGTCTTCTGTTCTGGGAAGCTCTTCACTCTCTATATCTTCCATTAGCTCCACATTCAAAATGGCTCTAAGTCCCTCTTTATCCACTGTCGTAAGATACACATAAACATCACCATCATCAACAATACATGACTCTCTAAAAGGCTTAGCTACCAACGGAATATAGCTCAATTTCAGATTCCTCATACTGTCATTCAACCCAATCTTCTTGCATATACCATCTACAAGCACCGAATAGGTTAACTCCTCCATAGATAAGTTTCTAAATGATATAGCATATATGGAGTTTTTAGAATTCCATTTAAACTCTTCTCCTTTCGGTGAATAATTTCCTCCATACTCAAAATATATGTTTGTGGGCCTACTCATTCTCTCCTGCAAATACAAAAAAAAACAAAAAAAAATATTGCCAATTGTCAGCTTTCTCTCAATTTGTACCTGTACCAGTTGTACCAGTTGTCCCACTTTCTAAAGTTCTACCAATTGTACCAGTTGTCCCAGTTTCTAAAGTTGTCCCATTTGTACCACTTGTCCAATCTATCTAAGTTGTACCAGTTGTACCAATTATCCCGACACTCTTAGTTATACCACTTGTCCCAATTCTCGCAAATCTGACGGATTCATCATTCACAACCTAGAAGACTACGATTCAGCTCGATTCACCAACAACCATCCACTAATCGACCCATATAGTTGTCTTAAATATCCAATGTGCATGCTAAAACTAACAAATTTCACAAATCGACCCACAAAATTATAAAACTCCAAAATCATACTTGATGCTTCGCAAGGAGCTCACTCGAGTTCAGAAAACGAAGTCGTGCTGTACAGGAGGACGACACGGTGGCTAATATGTCCCGGCGAGCTGGGTCACGAGTCCAGCGCAAGATTCAGCTCGGATCAGGCAAATCCAATTTCTCAGAAATGTCTAATTCGAAGAGAGAGAGAGGAAGAGAGAGGAAGAGAGAGAGAGCACAGAATATAATTTTTAAAACAATAAAATTATTTTCTGTTTTGTTTTTTTATTTTTTAATTAAACCAATTAACCAAAAACGAAAATTCAGCAATGCCACAATTGCTTTTCATTAAGGGCATAATAGGGTTTTCACTTCATTTATGACACTGAAACTTTGTTATGGCACTGAAAATTTTTTCTCTTCATTTTATGGCATATTGGCCATTCTTTCCATGGAAAAGGACAAAGAGGAGAAGAAGTGTTTGGTGAAGAGAGAGGTGGGGCCATAGCCACAAATGCCACAAGGAGAAGAAAAGAGAAAAGAAAAGAGAGTTGAGGACTGAGGAGCTATGTGAAAGCATGAGTTCTATTGCGTTTAACGGAATCCAAATAGCCCACATTCGCCACTTCACTCTCCCTTTTTTCTTCCTAATCACATTCCAATTTCCACTAAATATGAATCATGGAAAAGAAGTGTAAAATGGTTTATAATTCCTTTGAAAATCGTTTATTTGGCTAGAGATTAACTTTTATTGAGCTATATTGGCTATATTTAGTGACCTATATGCTATAATAGATGTATGTCAATCTATATTGTCAACTAATTTAAAATTTAGAAATCCGTGGAATTTAACATGATATCAGATTTTAGAGATATATATTAGAGATAAGTTTTCTTTGTTTGAATGATGTAGGATGATTTAAATACAAATCATTTCAGATGCTAAATTGAATACAATTTTTCAAAGTTTAAGTAATTAAATAATTAAAGTATAATGTTTGCACACGGTGAAATCGATCAGTAACGAGTTTACGTCTTTTTCCGGAAAACCGAGGCAACTTTGCCGCTACATGCATATTCAGTAGTACTATTTTTACTTTACGATAAATGATTTTTCAATCAAATATACTTTATTAAAATTAAGCATAAGATATTTGTTACAGACATTAAGATATTTACGATTAATGATGTTTCCATGAAATACACGATAACTCCATTCAGACGAGACAACGTAATAGGCGTGTCACCAAAATAGAAAGTTCATCAGATATTTGTTACAGACATAAGATATTTGTTGGTTCAATCTCAAAATAGAAAGTTCAGTCATCGCACATGGCTGTGTCCAACCATTTAATGTATCAAATCTAAGTACTCCATCCGTTTTTAATATAAATTAAATACTGGAAGAAAATAAATGGTTTCATTAAGAGAAAAAAATTGTTTCATCGGAAAACAAAATGTTTTTTATTTATATGCAAAATTTTGTATATCACTTATCACTTATAAAAAAAGAAGTTAAAATCAAAATATATAACACAACTAATAAATAATAGTATAATAAATTGTTTTTTTACCTTTCTTTATTATTTTATTTAGTAATTTCTATTTTAAAAATATAATTTATTATTTTTAGTTAAAAATTAAAATTTTATATTATTACATTAACATATGTTATGATCTAAATTAACAATGACACATATCATAATTTTGTGAGTATATGTGTTATGGTTAGCGCATTCAGCTTCTATATAATAAGATAAAGGTTTTCAAAAAACTATTTTTTTGAATTAATTATGTTTTTGAAATCTTATCATTTATTAAATTTTTTTTATCAGATTTATGGACAATCTGGATAAATTCTTAATTTCTTAATAGTAAATTATAAAATATAATTTATGAATAACTTAACAAAATCTTAATTTAGAATATAAAATATAAAGATCATATTTACGCAAATTATCAATATTAAATTTTAATTATGTTTTTAAATAATAATTAGACAAATAAAATAAGAAAAAAACAGAGGACAATATAATACAAATTATGTTATTAGAATTTTATCATTTATTTAAAGTAGTTACTTATCAGATTTATGAATAATATAAATCAAATTATAATTTTTAATTATAAACTAAAAAACATAAATTATAATTATTTAACACAATCTTAATTTAATACTAACTTTACGGATTCTAATTATGCAAAAAAATAATTTTAAACTGTAAATATATTTTTGATTTTTTTTTTCATATAATCTAAGATATACTTACAAAAATAATATTATACTAAGTAAGACTACCGTCATGAAAATAAAAAAAGGTAAGTTTAATGTAACTATTGAGAAAATTGTTCATTTGATTCTTTTTTTTTTGGTCGAGATTGTTCATTTGATTAGAAGGTGATTTTGAGCTCGAGGTCTCACCTTATGTTTTCAATTATTCTTTGCTGTCTTTTTTTTTTTCTTCTTTTGATTTTTGAAATTACTAGCTTTTAACATAAACTAAATTGATTAATAAAGTTTATATTTATTCAAAAAACGAAAAATAATTGATTTGATATTTCTGTATTTGATTAAAACATTTTGAAAATAGTTTTTGTATTACGTTTATTTAATTCTGACCTTTTATTTAGATTTGACAACTTTATTATTTATGTGATATTTTTAAACAAATCATCGCCGACAATACTTTTACTGTTACATACTTATTTTGAATCAACTTCATTTTCATTAACGGTTTTTTTATGTCGGAACATATCGACGTAAAATTGACATAATAGTTCCATTGCGTTGAATTAGCGACGAATCAAAAATTATCATAAAACAATCGTCGTAAATGAGAAATCATCATAAAATCATCGTAAAAGTTCCAACACCGGGAAATCGTTGTAATCTGGTTGAAAAATATTCGTCGTAAAAACAATGTATATTTCCAATGCAAGTACGACGAAATTATTTCAACACAACATCGACGTAAAATCGATGTAGTGTTATATCAAATTTACAACGATTACGAGACGATTTTTTTCATCAAAATCAAATAAATTTATTAAAGATCGACGTAAATTCGTCGTAAAATATCGACGTTAAGTCGTCGTAAAACTTGTCGACGTTAATTCGTCGTAAAACGTTTGCCGTAAATTTACGACGAGTTTACGTCGAATAGTAAAGAAAAATAATTATGATAATTTGATTTTTAATTCATAAATTAATATTAAAAATTTAATAAATGAATATTAAATAAAATAAAATTATAATTTAAAATTTAAATTCAAAAATAATTAATATATTAAAATACAAAATTAAATACAAAATGTTTTTAAAAATAAAACTAATCTACAAAGTTATTTCATAATCGTCGAGGTTGAGATCGACGTCCCAATAAGGCTCTCCGTCATGTTCGCCCGTAGCCGCTGTACCGTCGTTTTCCGTATGAACTACGGGATTCGAAGTCTGACCCTGTGTCGTCGGCTGGTCAGAAGATCCACCGGAAGAACCCCCTGCAATAATCCATGCCCGCCGTTGCCTATCTCGAATTGCGGTGGCCAACTGCGGAACTGCTGCCGCTATGATGTCGAAGAGACCGTTCATCTCGGAGAGCTCCTGCTTCTGGGCCACTTGCTCATGCCGTAAACTGGTGATCTCAGCATTGGCTGTAGCAAGCTCCTGTCGCAGTTGACTCGGATCCTCGTGTGTGCGGCATCCCGAAGACGAGGCAGCGGGACAGTTTCTAATAGAGCCCATCCCTAAGGTGTGGTCCTTCTTCTTCGGAACAACCTGCAAAAAAAAGTGAAAACGTTAGATCATAACTATACATATATACAGATAATTAAGTATATATATTAAATTAAAAAAATATTGAAATCATACCTCCTCGAAGATCTTGTCTTGCTCGAGGACAGTCAAAGGTACTTGGATAGTACCTCTGCATAGTTGCATTGTAGATCTCCTTTGACCGAGCATCTACAAAAGTCTCGTCCTTCTTCCAGTGAGTGGTCTCGAAGAGCTTCGTCATTGGAGGAAGCTCTCCTCCGTTCTTCTCGGCCTACCAAAAAAATTAAAATTAAACATTAGTAAATATAAACAAAATATATTATATAATTGTAAATAATTGAAAAATAGAAATTAAATGTAAATAATTAAAATTACTTACCATCATCAGACGTCTTCCCGCAAATGGTATTTGGTCAGAAGTGTGCGGGATCACTAACTTCCGACCGTCAGAACCGACCCGGTTTCGAACCCCGAACACTTAGCAGTTACGTCTTGGGCATGCGGGTCCATCCAATATGCTTTCAACCCATTTTAGCACTAAGGGGACATCGAGCTTGGCTTTGCGTCATCGCCGTCGATCTCCCACTTCCGCTTCCAATCGGAAACGGTGTTGACTAGGCGTCTCTGCGCCTTCAGGCGAAACGCTGTCCGGACCTCCTCGTTGATCCCGATGTCCCAGTGCCACCGTTGCTGCAAAATAAAACAAAATATTAAACAATATAAACTTAATATTAAATTTTAAA